TCTGCAATTTTTGCTGAAGTGTCTTGTAAGGCCCCCAAAAACAGAAAACACTTCCCAAAGCATTAACTTGGCCAATTCAATTCAGCAAGCTCTAAGCCCATTCAATTTTAAGTTACTCAAAATTCCCCTAAGAGGGAATTAGAAGAAGAAAGAAAGACAGAAAAGACATAGAAAAGGACAAATATGGCCACCACTCCTGGTCCTGCAGTGTTCAGCTGATAGAAGTTACAAGAGGATGTAGGGGCAAGACACGTCCTTGCTGCATGTCCTAGGTTTTCAAATCCTTTGGCTTTCCTGGGCCCTTCCTTCATGTGGAACTTCTGGTCATTTTTAGAGCTGGACTAGGGACTCCAGAGATTAATGCATTGCCTCTGGTGTGCCAGGGATTACCAGCCACTGCCAGGCTGGAATTCAGGCTCTAGGAATAAGGTGGGCAGGGCAGGGCATCCCCTCTCCAGGGCAAGACCCAACCTGCCCTTACCCCTCACACACACACACAGAATGCAATGCTTTCAGCCTCTCACATTCTTCAGAGAATGTCACAGCCTGAACAACTTAATTTACATTTATGTTTGTGCCCTGAACATTTTGCTTTAGCACATAGTGCTTACATTTCCTCTGGGAACACTATGTTGCACTGGTTTGCAGTGTCCTGGCATTGCTGAGCTGCACTGACTGTGGTAATATTTATGTCCTGTGCCTGTCAGTGTGCTAAGGAATGAAGCTAAATAAATTCTGCAGAGCTTGCAAACCCACCCTGATTATTTTTGTGCCATTCTTTTCATTTCTGTTACAAGTTGTCAGGTTTGCACTTGGAAGAGCCTGTGTTGTAAGATAAGGGCTGTCCTATCATTTCTATTACTCCTTCTGTGATTTGGATTCAGCTTTTACAAAGGGATGCTTCTTCAGAGAGGTAGAGAGGTACATGATATTTGACCTTTTAAATTTGCAGCATCAAACTGGGAGATACAGAGCCTTCTTTTCTCCTGGACTGGAAACCAGAGGCCTGCATGGGCTAAGGCCCAATGGGCCAGCTCAGGAGAGGTGGAGTTGAGACCCCCTGGCTTCTGCAGCTCTGGCTGGATCCTCTGGTGTTTAATAACATCCATATACCAGAGGAAACTTGTGGTTGGAGGCTTGCATGCAGGACACCTGTTCCTTGTATGGCTTCTCTGAATGAGATGATACATGGTGGCCTTCCCTGCTCTGGGAAAATTAATAAGGTTCCTGCCCTCCTGCACTGTCTCTTCTAAAGAAACATGTGAGAACTTCCATCCCAAAGCTGCTTAAAGCTGGCCAAAGCATTCAAATGTTCGTGGTAAAGTAGGGAAGGAAGGAAGGGGACAGGAACCACAGCACTGCTGCCTCTGCCACCCCCACACACATGCTGTCCAAATGAGCCATCAAAGGGCTCCTGGATCAGAGGGGACCATGCCAGGAGGGCTCCCAAGCCCTGTGGTCAGGGCAGTCGCCCAAGGAAGGGGAGCCTGCTGGGGGTGGCTGCTGGGTGTTCTGCAACCCGGGCTGCCCACCAGCCCAGCTGGACCTGGGTGATCTCACACTGGTCCCAGTGCACCTCTCCCATTCTCCCCTGCTATCACCTCTCCCTGGGAAGCCCCAGCAAGAAGTGGGAAACGGCTCAGGGCCTTGTGGCCATACGTGGGTGACAGGGAGAGAGGAGCCGCTGCTGTACAGGAGACACCTGTCACACCTGGGTCCACCTCAAATACGACTCTCACATCATCTTTCTGGGGTGGTGTCAAGGCCTTAAGCAGGTTATTTGCTCAGGGGAGTGTTACCCTTGTGCACCTAAACAAGCACTAAATAAATAATTTTAACAAATTTGTCCCATTATTTCTGATACTGCCTCCCAAACACTGCTCTGGTTTCACTTTGCACAGTGACTGCCAAGGAAAAAGTGCAATATTTTTTGTCCATTTCACTATTACCTTGTTTTTAATCCTCATAAACTGTCAGTGCAACTTTCACACCAAGTACTATTTGTGTACGTACAACTTCACATCTTGGAACAGGGAAGCCTCTCATATTTTTTTCCTATTTTTTTCAGTTTTGATGCTGACTATTCTGACCCTGCAGCAACAAAACACTAAGGAATATATACTATCTAGCTACCTAAGCTCTCTCATTTTATTTATGTGCCTCATTAAAGTTAAATAAATATGTCTATAAATAAGGTCCATGAATGCTCACCCTGGGGTCAATATGCTTCATACCAAAAGGAATTTCAATTTGTACAAATCCAGTAAGATTTCCTGAAGAACATGGTTGGATCAGGGGAAAAAGTACTAGTAACACGAAGGATGACACTGCTGAAGAGTCTGGGTGACTATTACAAAGCTCTTACCCATGGATTCCTATGAAACTGTGTGGAAATTTAGATGCCAGTTCTTCACACTAATATTGAAGTTGAGACCTGCATATGTATTTTGCTTTTTTGAGTTATTGTTTCCAGTGTTCATTTTTTATTCTGTTTTTGTTTTTGTTTTTGTTTTTGCTTAATCCAAATTAGACACATGTATTTTGATGCAGACAATGATTTTGATTTTGTTGACTCTCTTCTTCTAAAATATTCTAAAATACAGACTGACTCACAAAGACTTAAATTGATTAAATAAGAAAGAGCAATCTAATGTAAAGAGCCAGCAGAAAGAAATACTGGTTCACGCAACATACTATTAACCTGTAGAAATTGCTGCCATAAAAAGAAATTTAACCCAAAAGCAAACATCAAAGCACAGGTTGAAGAGCATTTCTAAAAGATTCTGAAAGGATTTTAGAAAGGCTCTAAAACTCTCTGGTCAAGATTAAACCAATAATTCATTATTAGGAGTAAACAAAAGCCAACAAGGTGAAGGACAGATTGTCCCCACCCATAATCCCCCCTACCCTTTTCAGCAGCATCCAAGGCAAGACACAGTAAAAGTCAGAATACAGTCAGACAGACTAGCACAGAGCTGGGAATGGCATTGGTATATTTTACTTCCCTTGTAAAAACAAAAATAAAGAAATGCTTGCAGAATTGATCTTTAAAGGTCTTTCTACCTTTCTGGTGCTTTTTCAATTCAGAGGAAAAGAAGTTTATTGACACAAGGAAAGCTGTAAACTCTGCAGCCATAACTTACAGCCAGGTTTAAAGGGGCTTCAGCCTCCCACAGCTTTCAGTGTTAATGTCTCAATCTCATATTAGAATTATAGTGCAAATAAAAAACTGACACATACCCCCAAATTGCATTTTAAAATTATTTTTATATTATAAATAAACTATATTGCCATTTTTAAGTATCATTGACTATACTGACTATAAAAAATTGTTCTGAAGAGCTTCTTCAATAATCAAGGTAACAACTCAAACTGTTTTTAAGAGACACTTCCTATGAAGAGGACAACTTACAAACTCCAAGAACTCAATTTTTAAAATTTCTTGAGAAGACAGAATTTTTATTTTTATTGCAATATTGCCTGGACTTCACAATCTGGCACCATATCTTCACCCCTTCTGTTGTGCAAACACAGGTGGCAGTATTTTTTAAATGTCTGTCTCGAGAAAACCACTGAGGAAGCCTCACAGACAGAGAAGAACACAGAAGGAACAATTGCAAAGATTTATTTAGCGCTTTCTGTGCTTGGCACTTAGAAACAGAGTTCCGTGCATAGGGCAAATCTTTATACAGCTTTTTCTTCATACATATTTTACATATCATTTTTATTGCCCTCTTTTATATTCATAATATTGAATACCCCACTAGGCATATAAATACATTTATCTACAACACCTCACAACAACTCTCAATAATATCTGTATTCTGTTACTTGGTATTTGCATTTTCACACAACTTAAATGCATAGCTTGCACCAAGCTACAATTGTTTTCCTATTTTTAAAGGATTTGAAGAGAAAAAAAGGGAAAAAAAAACCAAGGAAAAAAACAGAAAATAAAGATGTTAAAAGGCAATGATCTATTTGGTTAAACAGAGACCATGTGGCAGGTGGAAGGTTGGCAAATACTCAACCTCACTGTTTCTGAAATGCTAATGGTTTTCTACGGCAACTCTCGCATGCAAGATCAGCTGCACTCCTGCAGAGCTCTCTTTTCTCATCACTCTTCCCCATGAGCTCAGTCTGGACAGTTTCTTCCCAGTGGGATGAGTGCTGTGGGAGACACTCATTCCCCACAAAGGCTGTCATCCATTCCGTTTCGCTGCGTTACTTCCAGTCAAGCCAACAGGAGCTGAGCCCCCTCCCCCCATTCACCTTCCCAAAGTTCCATCCCCGCTTCTGTCTGAGGCTCACTTGTGAGCTAAAACTTTTCTCTCCTCTCTCTCCCACCTCCATCTGCAGGCTGGGTGCTTCTGAACTCAACCTCCATAAAGAAACAGCCGGTTGGGCAGAGCCATGGTGAGAATGAGAAACCTCTTCAGAAGAAGCTGCAGCTCCTCCACGCCATTCCTGTGCTACAGTGGAAGGAAGACCCACAGGCCTCACTGGTTCCAGAAATGGGCTGAGCCACTCTGGCAGTGAGGAATTGTCTGGGAAAAGGGAGGTCTTTAGTTTAGACCTTTGGGCAGTGCAGCTTCAGAGGATGAAGCCCTGGGAGACTGCCCTTCTTCAACACTTGGAGGAGACAGCACAGGGAATGGATCCCTCCACGCTGAAAGCTCACACTGCCTAAAGTTAATGCATAAAACAGTAAATTCAGCTGCTTCTCTCCAGCTCCTCGTTAAAGTCATGCCCTCTTCTCTGCAATGTCCAGGAAAAGCAGATGCTCCGTGCCGGTCTGGAGGCCCTGGGCTACAACAAGCGGCGATGGCTGTCAGTCAAGGCTCTCCAGAAGGTTTTGGGGCACACACCTAGATGGCTTATGTTCTTGTTTATCGTTACAATACTAGTTCCACTATAAGTTCGAAGGCAAAAGAGTACTGGGATGGGTTCACCCCTGGGAAGGATGAAGGTCCTTCGATGCCGAGGAAAGGCAAGGCTTGTTAGACCATGTGCACAGACATCTGTGAGGAGGAGCCCTGCACCGCTCCGTACTGCCTGTTGTCACAGGCCGCTGCTGTCTGCTGGTTGCTGGAGGGAGGGCTGATCATGTGCATCCCGTGATCCATCCCTGTGGAAAGGTATTGCCTCTCTCCAAAGGCCCCACCGGAGGGGGAAGAGCAGAGTAAAGTGCTTTGGGAGGTGGTGAGTTTCTCTGGGCTTGCCGCCAGCCTGGGGGAAGCAGGGAAATTGTATCCATAGAGGTTGTAGGGATTGTGCAGGGAGAAGGCATTGTAGGAGCTCTGCTGCATGTGGCCGCCACCAAACATGTGTGAGGAGGAGGAGGTGGAGGCAGGGTTGCCTGCTTGCATAACATACTGAAACTGGGAGCTGGGGAAAGATCCCAGCTGGCCGCTGTACGCCTCCATCTTGCTGTTGCTGGGCAGGGAGGAAGGAGCCGGCATTCCTGAGATCAAGGAGGGAGTCCTCTGAGGCATGAAGGTTTCGGAGGGCTGCGAGGCAGAAGCGCTGCTGCTCTGCAGCCGGTTGTAGCCCCCGTCGCTCAGCCCTGGGTAGCTCTGCAGCGCTGCCATGTTGCTTCTGGCGCAGGGAGGATAATCAGACAGGTTGAGGTTGCAAAGCTGACTCTCCCGGCAGCCAACATTGAAAGTGTTGGGGGCCAGATGGAAGGCTGGAGGAGAGCAGGATGGAGAGAGAAGGTGAGAAGAAGCGGATGGTGAGGGGGTCCCCGTGCTGGAGGTGGTCGGGGACGTTCCTGTGCTGCCTCCTGCAAAACAAAACACATGGGAGGATGTTCAGCACCCAGAACCACACCTGCAAAATGAGACGGCCTCATTGAAAAACAGCTTAGTTCAATAAAGAAGCAAGGGTGGTAAAATGGCCACTGGAAAACTCAGCCTTTCTTGGCAAGGGCCCTTGCTTTATTAATAGCATCCCTCAGTCTTTCTTTCTGCTTTTTTGTTCCGACTTTGTATTTCAACAGACATTTTATTCCCTTTTAAAATGGGAGAGGGAAGCAAGCCTGCCACAGAGTAACCCAAGGCACTGGGAAAGCTGCGAGGAAAGATAGTTCCATCAGTCAAGAGATCTGCCAGGCATGTTTATCTAGTTATATTAAGGGGGAAAGAAAAAAAAAAGGCAATTTGGTAATTTCTTCTCTCTCCTGGTCTGCAGGAAGATCCCCAGTCATGAGTTGTTTGGTCCCACTGCAAACACGCTTTATCATCTGCTCGGGGGCTTGTGGTGGGAAGTGGCTGAGAGCGTGTTGGACTTTGCACTATTCAGCATTTTTGTCAGCTGGCTCACGGTGCAGCAGCACTGATTCAAGCCAGAAGTAACACTAAAATGAAGGGACACAGTTTCAAGCTATATCCTGCTCCACAGAGTGCAGAAAGGGGACGTGTCAGGATTTTCAATCATGTGCGTAAAATTTAAAAGGGATTCCATATGTTGCACCACTGATTTTAACAAAATATTGATATATATGCATGTCAGTAGTATCAGCGCATTATACAATATTTATGCTATGAATGATGGAATTGACCATTCTGCACAGCAGAGATGCTCACATGTTCTGAGCTGGGAAAATAATACTGTGTAATACTACCAAGAATGGTAGGAAACTGAAAGTAAGTGTTATGAAAAAGACAATGGCACAATTTTGAACTTAAGTGCTTATTTATAGGCAACATTCTGAATTGGAGGAAGCTTCCTTGAACAACCAGGAAAATCAGTTAAAAGAATTCAGTTTTCTGATGTGAAAACTCTTCTTTTCATTTGATTATTCTCTTTGTACAAGATTCCCTTTCTGCATTAGGGCAACTAACACTGGAGACTCTTGTAAAATGACCAAAGTGATGGTGAAAAAATTTGACCAGGGAATAAACAGACGCAGAGGAACTGGAAAGCAGCATTTCCAACAAGGTAGAAAATTACAGATGAGAGGCAAAGGGAATTGAAAAGACAGTGTTTGAATGGGCAGGTGAAATTTCACCAAGGCAGAGATTGCACACTGAGGATCAAAAATAAGGGACAACTTTTTCTTGTATCATCTTACATGGAAAAAATCCAGCAGAACTTTGAGACCAATCTAGGTCTGCTGCTGAAGGGAAAAAAAAAAAAAAAAAAAAAGGAAGAATTTAATGCAGTGTTGCTTGATGAAAAGAGAATAGGTGATGCTAGGTGTTAAGAGATGCACTAGAAAGATGTGTTCTGTGTCAGTATATGATAGTGAAAATGAAAGTGAGATTATATCTGACTCTTTCTGACACATCTAGGGTGAAATAGAATGGGGAGTGAAAACCTTGAGACAGTAATAATATTTGTGATTTTTTTAATTTTAATTTTTTTTAACCCAGATTCAGAAACAAGAAGAAAAACAGCATTGGGTAAGCACAGCGTGGAGTGATGGCTGTTGATCCAGGCAACTCTAACAAAAAGGCAAATTTCTGTGTTGCCAAGTCAGAGCAGTCATTCCCATTACCAGCCATGGGGAGGAATGCTTACCAGTTATTGCTGAGCCACTGACTCCTTTTGTCATTCATTCCAAAGCATAAAAGAGAAGCATTGCATCAAGTCTCCATTAAAGTAAATGAGAGAAACTGAATTTTCAGATGCCACCATGGACTCTGCTTTCACTTCTTGACAATACAGAAATGCTCAAACTTGCTTACGCATTTTAGCTCCAGAGTTCAAAGGCTTGTTGTGTAAGTTTCTAATTTAAAATTTATTTTAAAGGCTACACTTTCCTGGTTCATTTAAGGTCTCTGTCAGACAACCTTGGGCTATTTTGGCTGTGGTAAGTAAAGATGGCACCTCCTTCAGCCTTTGTCTCTGTCTCTCTTTTACAGGTTGTCAATACTGCAGTAGGATCAGCAGAAGGGAAGGTTGGCTTTTACACAAGTAGTTCCACTCCAGCCTGTTTTAGTTGAAATTGCTGAAAAAGGTGAGATTGAACACAACTCCAGACAACTCAGACTACTGAGTTTTTTGTTAGCCCTGCAGTAAGTAGCACAACCTCTAACAGGGAGAACAGGCAGACAGTGAATTCATGTACCATCTTCTAGTTATCCAAGACCAAAATATAGAGATCAAACAATCACAAAACAAATACAGCACAAAGTCAGATATATTTAGCCCACAGTAATCCTGCTTTTGACTCTTTACACCATTTATTTCATGAACAAACTGCAGAAAGTGACTCCCTTGCTGATAGTGTCTGGAGAATAAGTGAAAATGCATATGTATATATGTATGAGTATTTAATGATGTTTGAAATAAAATATATAGAATAAATTATTAAATGCAATGTCTTAATTTCAGTCTTCCTTTGTCCCAGAGCTAAACGTTATCAACTCAGTAGGAGAAAAGTGCACACACCAGTTACCAGGGAGAGATGTCATTAATTACCACTGTAAACAGCCAACTGTGAGTTCCCTTACTAAACTGAACAACCAGAGTTACAAAGCACAGGTTCAGACTGTGAATTCCTACCTATTCCTGAATTTTCCAAATCTGTTTGCTTACAAGAATTTTCTAACAAGCAAGTTCTTAACTTTGCCAACCTTGTTTTGAAACTTTAAAGCTTTATGCTTTCTTCATTTTTTCTATTAATTCTAGTATTAATATTTGAAGCCTGGGGTTTTTAACATGTTCACAGATATGGATATATCACTCTCTCACTTTCTCTAGAGGATATATTACAGCCTGTGACTTACATGGCTGTCAAAGATACTCAGAAGACAATCTAGAAAGAATATGGAAGTGAATCCTTCATCCTGCTTGTTGGAATAAGGATCCTTAAGATGTGAGAGGAGGGTACAGAGAGATCTGCTTGTCTAATTTGCATTTAAATTGGGTGTCATTAGACTTTATTCATCTGCTGAGAAGCTACAATCCAGTTGTACCCATAACTGAGGTTTTGGCTACACAGAGTAAGTTTTGCTTGTAAGAAGTTTCAAGCGTTGCTTAATGGTTCCAAAACTGAGAATTGCACATTTCGGTCACCTCCACATTGCACATTTGGACATCAACTCCAAAGAGGGATTGAGTGATTCTGCTTTGAATAATCCCTATTTGGAGGCCAATAGGAAAACCCTGAAGCGACAACACAGCATTAGGCAATAGGGTAAAAAAGACTTTTTTTCTCTGTAACTTCAAAATGATGAGGAGGTAAGAGATCCATCAATGTGAGCAAGTACCAAACCTGACAAGTCTCTTTCAAGAATGCTTTGTTACTAGTGCCAACCACAAGCACAGGACATGCCACACTTCGGCTGCAACAGAGCATAATCCAGAATCAAGAAGTTCCTCATAATTTGCAGAGTAATCTTTACACCTGTAAGTGGAACAGGAAATAATACAAAGCAAGGCCTCTCTCAGCTCATTCTCTTGGGACCAGCTCCACTCTGCTCTGAAGGACATTTCTTGGCCACCTTTGCTGGCAGCCCCAAGTGTGGGCCATACACAACCTGGACTTTTGTGAAGTTATAACTTGGTCTGTAGATGTTACAAAGTCAGCCAAATACCCCTAGAGATGGCAGCAAGCCCAGTAAATATATCCACACCATACCACAGTCTTGGAAAAACAGATGTGTGTGTCATTTCAATGGAAGGCATGGATAGAAACCAATCTAGTTAAACTGATACACAAAACTGTGTTAGGTCTGGTTTAAGTCAACTGAAACCACATTTAAGCAAGAATAAAACGAATCCCTCGATAGTTGCCCTCTGTTCCTTTTCTCTACCCACCATTTCCCCTGGAAATAATTGCCAACACCAAAAGTATTTACCGGCAATGTCACAGTATCTCTCACCTCCACGCTTACCATGACTCCAGAGTGATTAATTACTATTTTGAGCAGCCCCTAGAAGATAATTTTTTGGCTCTGCAGGCATTGGTTCCACATCTGTGCCGTTACTGAGCCACATTTGTATAACATAGAAGGCTCAGAATTTCAAAGGCCCCTCCTTTGTATGTGAACCCTGCCCCACACAGCAGGGGAAAGTGTCTGTCCTCACAGTACCCTGCTATTCTATCCAGGGTTTAGCCAAGCAATGCTGTCATCCTGAAAGGAGCTGATTCTCTGGGCATACACGTGATAACTAAATTGACCTTATCAAAAGGAGAGAAGCATTTTCAATGAGGGGAACTGGAGAATGATCAAGTGCAAGAGAAGTCAAAATTTGCAAACTGGGACCAAGAAATAGGGGAAAAGAAGAATGAAATCATGGTGGAAGACAGAGAGACCATGTGGAAAGGATGGGATGTAAAGGCAAACCTTCCTCTTCTTGTCACTCTTATGACACCAAATATAAATGCTGTCTGCACCAGTGTCAGGTACAGGCCCACAAGGCTTAGGGAAGAAATTACAGCTTTTCCTTTGGGTATCAACAAGAGGTGCCATTAAAATATCATCTCAAATAACTTCTGACTGGCATTTCCTTCCTGTCACATGTGTCCATCTACGCCACAGTTATGGTGCTGTCTTCCTGTATGTCCCAAATAAACCTTTGCTTTTACTAGACTGAGCTTGTGTTAAGGACAATTTCAGGGCAAACTGCAGCCCAAGCATACACAGTCCGTAAGGTATGATGTGCCTTAAAATGAGGGGTTGGAATATTCTGGAAACATTCAGCATGCCAGGGCACCTGAAATGCTACAGGGACCTCTTCCACAGAAGGCAGGTCACGTAGAGAACTTCTACCACTGCAGTGTAGATGGAAAATGCATCTGCCAGCAGCCAGCATTTGCCAAAGGAGCTTTCT